CCCAGCGTCATCTCTCGGAGCCTGCTTCTGGAATGTTTTTGATATGGGGCTTCGTGGCAGGTGAGGGGAAGGGTCGTGCTGCGTGGGATTCACAGCCCACGTCTAGGTCTCTTCAGGGCCGGATACTCTCTATCCACCCAGATTCTCCTTCCCTAGCAGGCTTCCCCCACATCGCCCCAGCGGCCTGTGTGCCCTGCTGGCCCCTGGATTAGAAGGGGTTAAGCAAACTGGTCAGTAGGAGGACAGCTATCTCAGGATCTTTCAGTTCCTTCTCCACTGAAATGCCAGCTTCCCCCCTGCTGAGGTAGTGCTAATGGGATGAGGCAGCAGAGACTATGGCCTCCTGCTCCCCTATTTTCTTTATGTGGCTGCCCCGCCAGTCCCTCCTCTCACTGTAGCTTCTCCTTGTTCCCACTCACCCTCTTCTTTCCTAGCTTCCTTTGGGGTTTGGGAGGTAAGGGGAAGATATTTTTGTAGGAGGGACTACTATATATCTCCTGCCTGTAAAAGAGCCTGGCATGTAATAAGTGCTCAATAAATATTTACTTGTAGTTCCAGACACTTATATTCTTGCTCTCAACTCTCCAATCCAATCCAGATAAAATGTACCCCCACCCCATCCCACTAAGATTTGGCATCCCACAGACCTGGATTGGAGGTCTGGTTTTCCCATTTGCTAAGTAGACAAATTATTTAATGCTTTAATTTCTACTTCTGCAATATGAGAATGATGAAAATTGTATTAAATGAAACAACACAACACAGTGCTTGATGCATAAACACTTAATAAATGGTAGCCCCTATTATATTATCTTTAAATATATATATTTTTGTTGATTTCAGAGAGGAAGGGTGTGGGGGAGAGAGACTGAAACATCAGTGGTGAGAGAGAATCATTCCTGCACGCCCTCAATGGGGGATCACGTCTGCAACCCAGGCATATGCCCTGTCCTGGAATTGAACTGTGACCTCCTGGTTCATAGGTTGATGCTCAACCATATGCCGGCTGGGCTGGAACCCCTGTTATTAACTTCTAGGTTTCAGTTCTTTTTCCCATCATTCAAAGTCTCCTTCCACATTCTCTGAACTGACAATTTCTATGTTGAATTTTACTTATTTTTTAAAATCATTTTTATTTTTCAATAAAGGTATAAAAGGCTAATATGCGAAGTGTCCCCTCAGGAGTTTGACTGGGAGTTCAATCGCTTGCTATGATGTGCGCTGACCACCAGGGAGCAGCACGGAAGGAAGAAAGTCCCCAGTTGGCAGCCAGAAGGCCCCAATCTGCCTTGATTACCTGCCAGGCTTAGGGACCCTACCCATGCATGAATTTCATGCACTGGGCCTCTAGTAAATTATATTAGATTCAGGTGTGCACTACAGTGATTAGACATTATACAACTTACTAAGTGATTATGCTGATAAATCTCATACTCATCTGACACTATACAAATACATTTTTATTGTTTTCAGAGAGGAAGGGAGAGGGAGAGAGGGATAGAAACATCCGTGATGAGAGAGAATCATTGATCAGCTGCCTCCTGCACTCTCCTTACTGGGGATCAAGCCCACAACCTGGGGGAATGTTGAGAAATCAGCTGACAGTCTAATGGGAACTCCCCTGTAGAAAATTAACTGGTTTTCTCTTGATGCTTTTAAGATTCTCTCTTTGTCTTTAAACTTTTGTATTTTAATTATGATGTGTCTTGGTGTGGACCTCTTTGGGTACATCTTGAACTCTCTGTGCTTCCTGGACTTGTTTGTCTATTTCCTTCATGAGGTTAGGGGAATTTTCTGTCATTGTTTTTCAAATAGGTTTTTAATTTCTTGCTGTCTCTCTTCTTCCAGCACCCCATGATGCAAATGTTGGTATGCTTGAAGTTGTCCCCGAGGCTCCTTACCCTGTCCCCATTCTTTTTGCAGGGGAGGAGGGTTCTTTTTTCTTTTTGGGTAGTTTTTGCTTCCTTACATTCCAAATTGCTGATTTCTTTCTTGGTTTCATCTACTCTAATGTTGATTACCTGTAAATTATTCTTTATTTCAATTAATGTATCCTTCGTTTCTGCCTGGTTCTTTTTTTTGTTTTGTTTCCATGTCCTTTTCTATGCTGTTGAAGTTCTCATTGAGTTCACTGAACATCCTAATAACCAGTGTTTTAAACTCTGCATCTAGTAGATTGCTTGTCTCCATTCTGTTAAATCTTTTTCTGGACTTTTGTTCTGTCCTTTCATCTGGGTCATGTTTCTTTTCTCCTCATTTTAGCCGCCTCCCTGTGTTTGTTTCTAGGTATTAGGTAGAGCTGCTATGTCTCCCAGACTTAGCAAAGTGGTTTAATGTAATAGGTGTCTTGTAGGGTAAAGTGGTATAGCCTCCCTGGGCACTCCAGATATACCCCTCCTCCTACCCCATGTGAGCTGTGTAGTTGAGTTTTGATTAATGTTGGCATGTTAGGGGGAGGGATTTACCCCCGGGGCTAATCAGCTGCAAAGACTGGCTGCAACCACTGACCACCAACCTCTGAGGAAAATCAACTGTGCAGGGACCCACTCCACAGAGCTGGACTTACTTCAGCAGGGCTCTGGTGCCCACTGAGTCTGCCCCTTGAATATGTCACTTGCAGAGATGATTGGATGATGCTCTAAGCTGCCCAGCAGGTGCACTGGCTCTTGGGCCTCCTGGAAGGTGCAAGCTAAGGTCAGCTGCTGCCTGTGTTGTGCCTGGGGCCACCTTGGAGGTGCTCAGGTGAGGCTCAAGGCTGTGAACCAAGGTTGGCTGCTGCTAGTGCCAAGCCAGGGGCTATTTAGTGAGAAGTATAGGGAACATGAGGTTGGATGCTGCTTGTTTGAGAGATTTTAGGAAAGTCTGAAGCATGAGCCAAGACATTTGTATTAAAAAGCCACTGATGGGCACCAAAGTTGGGTGGGGCAGGTTCTCTGGGAATCACTAGGGCAGAGTGAACAGTGTGATCCAGGTTAATGGAGACTTAAATATGGAGCCTACTTGCTGGCTCTAGAGGGGGTCAGGGAGGGCGGGGGTCTCTAGAAAGAAAAAATGGCCTCTGCCAGCACTTTTGTCGGCAGAAAGATGCTCCCCTCCAGCTCTCCCCCTGATGCAAGACAATCCAGTTCCTTCCTATATGTTCCTGGTGCCTTTTGAGTTGCTACCCCGGTGCTGGAGCTCAGAGGGAGGGAGTCTGAGTAAGTCTGTGTATAGGCCTTTTAAGAGAAACTGCCTGGGACTCCAAATGCCCTCCGTCTCACTCAGTTACAATCCCTGCTGGGTTTTATAGCCAGAAGTTATGCAGACTCCTCTTCCTGGTACTGGAACCCAGGACTTGGGGGCCTGATGTGGGGCTGGAACCTCTCACTCCTCAATTTTTATCCATCACACATGGGTGTGGGACCAGCCCGTCCTATTTTCCATCCTCCTACAAGTCTCAGTGTGGTTTCTTCTTTAATTCCCTAGTTGTCAGACTTGGATTCAGCCAGGTTTCAGGCAGTTCTGAAAGATGGTTTGTTCTGTAGTTTAGTTGTAATTTCGATGTGGTTGTGGGAGGAGGCGAATATCACATTTACCTACACCACCCTCTTGACCATAAGTCCGAATTTTACTCATTTTTACACATGCCACCTTGCTGTCCAATCGGCAGCCTCTTTGAGGCTAAGATCTTATGCATTGCACTAGAGATATAGCAACAACCTTTGTCTCCACAGAGCTTAGCAGAGAATAGGGCTGATTCCTAAGCTGGATGAATAAAGGAGTCAGCCAACTCTGCAGCTGAACTCTATGCTTCTTGAAGGTAAAAACCCTCCCTTAGATTTTCCCGGCGTTCACCCGGAGTTTATAGCCCAGAGCTCCAGTCCTCAGCAGTACCTTGAAGATATCAGATTGAAATACTCCAATTGTAGTCGGAGCAATTTCTTGTTAGCTCTAGCATCTTGCCCCATACTTGCCTGGACTCCTTACTTACTCCCCAGACCCATCGATTTTGCAGAGAAGGGGAGGGAAGATCCCGAGGCTCAGAGGCTCCAACCCAGAAGAGCAGGTGTGCTGAGGGAAGGGAGCTGGAGCTGGCTGGGACAGGGGTGTGTTGGGGTAGGGAGTAGGGCATAGGGAGGGAACCTGCTTGAAGCTGGAGTCTTTGGGCTGCTTGCCTGCCTGCCCTTTGTCCTTATTCTCCCTTTCATCTGTCCTCATGGGACCCTGGAGTTTCTCAAAGGAGCAGAGCGGGCTGGGCATGCTCTGCTGGGGGTTGAAGGACGGCCTTCGAGGGGGGCATTCCAAGCATTCTTTATTTCACTAGGGGTCAGGCGGTGGGGGCAGACTGGGCAACGGGGATTTCTTTGGGGAGAGAATAAAGGCAGTGGGGGTGTCTTCAAGCAGCGGGGGACAGAACTGGGTGGGAGAGGGGTGGAAGGAGAGGCAGAGAAGGCTGGGAGCAGGGCTGGACAATCAGCCAAGCCCAGTTCTCCCTTTAGTGCCCATGACGGGAAGAGCAAATTGGGACCTTCAGCCCAGGACTCCGACCCCCCCCCCCCCCCCCCGCGTTTAACAGGGCAGAACTAGGAATGCAGGGGTCTCAAGGAGCTTCTGGGGGCTACAGCTGGGTGCTTGTTGTTGGCTTGTTTTTATGAAGTAGCGTCTCTATTTCCCAGCAGGAGTGTGTGAAGGCTCAAAGATCTGTGCCCCACCTCCCCACACAGGACAACAGAGGCTGTTTTCAGTCGCCGTTCTGGTTTTTAATGGAGCGGTTCTTTTCCTGGCCGCGGAGAAGGGAAGAGGGACCATCAGGTAGACGGAATCAGGGCGTGGACAAGGGAGCCAGAGACCTCCTCTGGCCAGTGCCACGGAACACGCGGATTTAAAAAGGGCCCCCTTCCCCCACGATCAGTAGGGAATCACTGCAAAAATAGTTCTCTGAACACAAATGTTACACGTATGGCGGGTTTTCCAGAACACAGTATTCACAGTATAGAAAACAGCAACATACATTTTTTAAAAAGAACACAGAGCTTGGAACCATAAATAGGACGTTCTGGGGTCCGGAAACCCCAGAGACATAGGCGCATCCATTCTCAGGAGCCGGAGCAGCTTAGAGGCCGGAGAAGGTCACAGAGCCGTTGAGGTTCACGGTGGGGTCCTGAGGAGTCGGGGCCCCTTGAGATGAAGTCCAGTAGCAGCCGGAGCCTCTTCAAGTCTTTCAGATTCATAGCAGCGACGCCAGGAGGCCTGGGCGTCAGGAGGCTCGGAGGACAGGAAAGGGGCGAGAGCCTTTGAGGAAAACGTGTGTTCTCTCCCTGCTGGAGGAATGAGGACAGGCACACGCAGGAAACAGTCTGAGGACGTCCCAGGCACAGGAGCAGTTTGCACAGGAGCAGTTTCCGTATTCCAGTTTTAGTGCCAGGTGGGGATGGGGGTGGGGATGGGGAGAGTTTCCATCCCGCCTGAGGCGCAGGCACCATGCACAGCAATTAAGGACATGGCTGCTGCAAAGTGTGCTCTTCCCATGGGGCTGCGTACAGGAGATGGAAAACTTGGACTTGGCCACGGGCCTTCCCTCTACTTCTCTACCCTTCCCCCCTCTCCACTATCTTCTTGGTTCCACAGGGCTGAGGACATCGAACCCTCAATGCCTTTCACGCGCCCGTTTTGCCCATATCTGTTGCTCCCCCAGGACTAAACGGCCAACCATCTCAGCCTTCTGGGCTGGGACGCTGGTCCTAGGACGCAGGGGAGAAGGGGCTCCCCTCAGGGTGTTGCCAGGTGCATCTTCGAGCCTATCCACTGGGGCGATGCCCCCCCCACCCCCCTCAGCTGAGCTTTGAGCAGATGCCCAGGGCCTGTCGGTAGGCCTCCGTCACCTCCTGGCAGTCCATCAGGGAAAAGCAGCTCTCCCCCAGGGGGTCCTGCCTCCAGCGCCTCAGGCCCCTGCTTCCCGGGCCCTCTGAGGGGGGCTCCTCCAGCCCTGTGAGGTTGTCCACGGACACACAGCCCCGCAGCAGAGGCCCGGGGAGCCGATCAGGCAGGTCCAGCTGGTCAAAGGACTCGGAGGACAGGATGCTTTCCTCGCTCACAGCTCCCGAGGGGCGGCTGGCCCTGGACGGAGGGCAGGCTGAGGCCAGTTCGTTCAGGGAGCAGAAGGTGGCGGGCGCCGTGAGCGGCAGGGCCGCGTGGGAGAACCTGCCGTTGTGTTTGAGGATGCCCTTGCGGTGGTGGTGGAGCAGCCCCGAGGCCTGGGCCGGCTTCTGCTCCACGGAGTCCCCCGCGCTCATAAACACGTCCCCCGCGTCCAAGAGCTCCCCAGAATCGCTGGGCTCGGGAGAGGAGTAGTACCCGGACTCCCGCTGCCGGGACTTCTTGAGGATGCCCTTCTTGGGGAGCAGGGGGGCTGCAGCCTGCTCTGGGCCTGCGGGGGCCGGGCTGAGGTCAGAGTCCCCCCCGGCCTGTTCCGAGGAGGAGGTGGCGGCCTTCTTCTTGAGGATGCCCTTCGGCAGTATGAGGTTGTCCTTGCTGGGGCGAGGGGCGGTGTCACCAGCCGGGCCCCCCTGGAGGGACTGGGCCATGGCGTTCTCTTTGCGGGACTTCTTGAGGGAGTGCTGGCGCTCCAGGCTGGGGGCCACGCTGGCCGCCCCCGGAGCGTGCTGCTTGAAGAAGCTGCACACCTTGGCCCCGTTCTCCAGGAGGGGCCGGGAGGAGCGCCGGAGCCAGTCGGCCATGGAGGCCCGGCCAGAGTCACCGCCAGAGTGCCCTCCCTCGTGCACGGCCTCCTGCTGCCCCACACGGGTGGCGTAGCCCCAGTTGACCCACCAGTGACTGGTGACATCCTCCAGCGTGGCCCGGCGGGTGGGGTTCACCATTAGCAGCCACCGGATCAGGCCACAGGCGTCTGGAAGACAGAGACAAGGGGCTTCAGGTGGGCAGTCATGAGGATGGGCACCCACCACCCCTCTCCCTGGCTCACCCCCACCTGCGCTAAGATGCCCCTCACTCTGTGGTAAGTTACGTTGACTCCCACCGAGGGCTCCACACACGCCCCAGCCCTGCCACTGCCCAGCCTCTGACTCTCCTGGATGGACTCTGCCAGCTTCCTCTCTCATGCCATGCCCCTCGGGCCCCTTCGTTAGCCTTGTTGTATGTGAGTGTGCACCCTCGTTCTCCCCAGAGATGCAACCCTCCAAGAATGTGGACTGTGCTGAAGGGTAAACCAAGATGCTTACAATGTAGGTAGAAAGGACAAAAAGAACTCAAAGGATGAGGGCAAAAGCAGAGGAAAGTGAGTCAACTAAAGCGAAAGGGATCTAGGTTAGACCTTAGAAAGCATTCCCCAAATACAACAGAGCGTGCCCACAAGGGAAGGAAGAGACATCCCTCCTTTTCCAGGTCACAGACACCGGAGGCAGAGAGAGAAGAGCAGGAGGCGATGGAGGGTCCTCTCAGCCGCATGGGGTGTCCTCCTCACTCTGTGCCACTGACTCCGCCTCAGGAATTAGCTCAGGACACCTGGGCCTGGATGCGAACACCCAGACCGCCCACTCACCTGAGGGTTTCGGCGGCTCCCGGTAGGCCCCGCTGCTAATTTGTTTCACCAGTGTCTTATGGTCTTGCCCGTCGAAGGGCATGGTGCCATGCACCAGGATGTACAGTAGAACACCCAGGGACCAGCTGTCCACCTGAGAGGGGAGGAGGGGGCAGATCAGCAAGGATACTGGAGGGCCTCCAGCCCCCCTTGCACACCAGAGAGAGAGGCCAGTGCATCTGAGAGTCACCTCCCTCTAGTATCTGAGGGCAAAGGAGTGACGCTGCAGGAGGGACTGAGCCTCAGGGAGAGGTGCTGTCCATCACCTCTCCTAGGCAGGGGCAGCCACAAACACGAGGGCAGTGGCGAGGCCATCCTTCGGGGACAGGAAGGAGTGGCTGGCTGGGCGCTGGGAAAGGTGATGGGAACCAGGAAGGTGAGCAGCCCAGAACTAGGCTGAGGGACAAGAGATTTGAGTTCTTGTCCCAGTTTGGCCACTGCTGGCTAGAGACCTGGCAAGTTGCTGCTTTGGGGGAGTAGGGGTGAGCGAGCAGTTTTGAATTGTATGCTCTGAGGAGCTAAAGTCACACAGGAAATGCCTGAGGAGGCCGGTGGTGGAGGGCGGGCACCCACCTCTGGGCCCGTGTAGGGCTTCCCGTTGACGATCTCGGGCGAGGCGTAGAGGGGGCTCCCGCAGAACGTCTGCAGGAACTTGCCTTGGTGGTAGAGGTTGGAGAGGCCAAAGTCAGCGATCTGCAGGGTGAGACAAACACACAGGGTCACGCCAAGGCCTGGGATGGCCTGGCACTTTCAGCCTGCCCCTCCCGGACCCTGGGGAACCCCAGGCCCCAGCAGGAGGAAAGGCTGCCCATGACTCCCGCCCGCACTGGGCGCTGTCCACCCGGCTCAGGCCCTGGAAGGAAGTGCCCTGCGGAAGCTGTGTCCATGAGCACTCCGGTAGGGGTGTGGGAGGTTCCGGGTCCTCACTGTGCCCAGGCTCCTCTGCTCATGCTGTACTCCACCCCAGGCTTATGCATCCTCTGGATCCAGCAAGCCCACCTCCCCCTGGGAAGCCCTCCAATGCCCTGAGATCTTCTCCCCCGAAGCTCTACAGTTTCCAATGGCTTGCTATAGCCACTGCCTAGAAGTTCTGTCTCCTCATATTGCCACCTCAGTGCTCCCAGTGCGGACCTCCTTCTGTCTCCATCCCTCCTGCAGCTCCTAGCACAGGTGTGACCCATGAATGGGACCCAATGGGAGGTTGACCAGATGGAGGGGGAGACTTAACATCTCATGCCAGTGTCACGACCCTCAGCAGCATGCCACCCCAGCTCTGAGTAAGCATGTAAGGCTGGGCCGCCCTTCCTAGCGAAGGGTTTGTTTATGTCCACGCCCGGGCAGGATCATGGGGTCAGCCCAGTATGGCTGAGAAGCAAAGGTGAGGGCAGAACAAAGATCACGGCCGGAGTTACAGCCCAGGAGAGGGAATCTTTTCCCCAGGACTCCCTGAGCCATCGGATCCCGAGGCTGTGAGAGGCCCCGAGTCCACCTCTTGTTCTCTGGAGAGATCTTTCCCCAACCATCCTCTCGGACAGACGCTGAGGCCAGCGCCCTCTGCTCCTGACCTCTTCCCCCCCCCCAGCAGAGGGCCATGTGTGTCCAGGGTGGAGGGGGCCTGTTTACGAAAGCCTGGCTCCTTCGTTTATGGCTTTATTGGCCCCTTATCAAGCCCATAATGAGGCGGGTGATTGGTGCAGATGGAGAGTTCATGCCAGTCCGGGGTTTATGGGCTCTGCTCCCCTCCCCCACCCCATACATCAAAGCCAGCTCCACCTGTTCCGGGAATTGGCTGGGGAGGGGGAAAGAAGTCAGCGCCTGGGCACCTCAGAGCACAGGGACTATTATGAGAAAGGACTATGTCCCGAGTTCGAGAAGATTCTGAGGAAGTCTGAGTGCAGAGTCAGTGCCCTCCCAGGTACATGCAGGGGCCGGCCTGGCCTCTCCCCCTTCCAGCGCCGTGCTCTGAGGTTATCTCATCAGCGTGCCCTTCTCGTTCCTAAATTAAACTGCGGGAAGCTGGTGCTAGAAGGCCTGGCCTTTGGGGAAAAGTGCCAGAGGGTTACCTAACTGCAGCAGATGGATGTGCGCATGTGTGTGCGCATGTGTGCACACATGCACACCGGCAGGGACAACGACGGTCTGCTCCCTGCCAGTCCCAAGTGAGCAAAAACTGCCCCTAGACCTAGACTTTTGTCAGTCTTGTGATGTCGAGAGCACTGGTTGGGGAGTCAGCAGACCTTGGTTCTAGCCCACACTCAGCCCCTCATTAGCCACAGGACCTTGTGCGAGTCGCCCCTTATTTTGAGGCCTCGGTTTTCCATCCATAAAACAAAGGGGCACCAACATGTAAGTCGGAGCTCGTTCGACTCCTCCTGGGACCCCAGGGCTTCGAGTTACTTGGCGAAAGGCTGCGGAAAGGCTGGGGAGGAGGGGGAGCTGCTGGAAACAAGACGTGGGCTCACCTTGATATTGCCATTGGCATCGAGGAGGATGTTCTCCAGCTTGAGATCCCGGTGGACAACCCCATTCTGAAAGAGGGAGGAGGAGGCTCAGGGGGAGGTCAGCAGGGAGGGCGGGCATGAGGGCCTAGTCCGGAAAGGGAGGCAAACACGAGGCAGTGGTGGGGGGGGGGGAGAGACAAGTAGGCTGGGAATAGCCATGGTTATCACAGGCCCTTCCAGCCCTGGCCCAGGGACTCAAAGTCTAGCATCCTCTAGGCCCATGGCCCGCAAACTGCAGCTCAAGAGCCACATGTGGCTCTTTTGGCCCCTTGAGTGTGGCTCTTCCACAAAATACCGTGGCCTGGGTGGGCCTATTTTGAAGAAGTGGCATTAGAAGACGTTTAAGTTTAAAAAATTTGGCTCTCAAGAGAAATTTCAGTCGTTGTGCTGTTGATATTTGTCTCTGTTGACTAATGAGTTTGCCAACCACTGTACTAGGCCGAGAGCCCAGAATCGAGTCTTGCCTCTGCTCATCTCCCTGTGTGATCCTGGAGAAACCTGGAACCTCTCTGGCCCAAACCAGCCCCAGAGCCCGGGACCACCCCCTCGGAGCAGGGCCGGGCGGGTGGGGCCCACCTGGTGGCAGTAGTGCACGGCGGAGACGATCTGCCGGAAGAAGTGACGGGCCTCGTGCTCGCTGAGCCGCTGCCGCTCGCTGATGTAGTCGTACAGGTCGCCCCGGCTGGCGTACTCCATGACGATCACAATCTTGCTGCTGTTCTCGAACACTGGGCAGAGCAAGACAGGACATCAGGACCCTCCCGCGCACACTGCTCCCCCTGGGGGCCACTGGCCTCTCCTTGGCCCTGGACCAGGCCCCCCCTCCAGGACCTTCCTCTGGGGATGCCTGTGATGGGCAGGAGGGTGGCAGGTAAGGGCAGGAGAAGGGCCTCTGACGCTCTCCACATCTTTCAGCAGTGACTCGTTCAGGCCAAGCACACTGGCTCCCCCGCCCTCTCTGGAGGTTCTGGCTTTTGTGGGTTCGTGAAACCACCTTGCAAGTTCCCAAAGGGCAGGGCCATCCCCGGGTGAGAATGGGAAGGCTGTCGGATTCGGAAGTCGGTGCTTTTTGCTGTGGGACGTACGGCAAACCTCTTCTAGACCCAGCAGCAAGAACGTCAGTTCGGGGCTGGAATCCTAGCCCCATAACTTACTGGCTGGGTGGCCCTGGCAAGTTATTCAACCAGCGTGCCTCAGTTTCCTCATTTGAAGAGGGGGATGATCATGGCAACCTCTGAGGGCTGCGATGAGAACTAGATAAAAGCCGCTCACATGCCGAAACCGGTTTGGCTCAGTGGACAGAGCATCAGTCTGTGGACTGAAGGGTCCTGGGTTCGATTTCGGTCAAGGGCATGTACATTTGGTTGCAGGCACATCCCCAGTGGGGATGTGCAGGAGGCAGCTGGTCAATGTTTCTCTCTCACCGATGTTTCTAGCTCTCTATCCCTCTCCCTTCCTCTCTGTAAAAAATCAATAAAATACATTTTTTTTTAAATTAAAATAAAAAGGCCAGTGATAGCCGGGGACTGGCTGAGCAAGCTGGCGGGGGGGCTGACATAAACGAGCCCTCAATACATGCCACCTACTGTTAGATTTATTAGTAGCGTCCTCCTATATGTAATATACATAAGAATGCCCACACAATGCCTGCCTTGAGGGTCAGAAAAGGAACAGAAGTCTATGTAAGTGGCTTGTACACTACACAGTACCCTGGAGAGCTGAGTACTCATCTCCCCCAACACCTTTGACTTCCCACCCAGAGTCCTTCCAGGGCCTCGGCCACAGAAGCAATCAGAATGTTCGGTAATTCATTGACTGGCTGGGCTCCTGGCAGGCAGCCTGCCCCATCTGGCTCATCAACACGTAGAGGAGGGGCCCTCTTGCCCTGTGAGGCCTCGTCCTGGCTCCAGCCCCCTGGAAAGGTTAGGGAACGACTAGGTCGCCAAACTGGCCCTTCAGCTGGGTTGTGTCAGAACACGCATGGCCCTGACATTGCATCTTTGTGTCAAACAGGTCCTAGGAGTTGGGCTTGCTGGGCCAGCCCCGGGCTGCTGCTGTCTAGCAGGTGAGAGGGAGCTGAGGGAGGTGGCTTCTCCCAGGAGGAGCCTCAGCTCCCAGGCACTCGGATACATGGCGGGGAGGACTGAGCTTTTTCCCAGGGGAGCATGAGTGAGTGGCCCTGATGGGTGGTAGCCCAGCCTCCTGGGGGGTGTCCAGCTGAGCCTCTCCCCCTGTGCTTCTCCATATCTCTGCAGCCTCTGTGCCATGAAATCGGGGGTTAAGAGCCAGCACACTCTGGACAGCAGCTAGGTCAGTCCCCCAACCCTCCACCCCCCAGTCTAACCTCCTGAGGGCTGGGTCACCATGGGGATGGATCCGGAGAGCCCTGCCGCTCACACAGTAACTATGACAGCCCTCCATCTGCAGAACTAGAAGGGGAGGGGGAAGCCACATCCTGAGCTTCAAAGCTCAGTGCGCAGACCTGGCTGGGGGTATGGGTGTGGGACACGCACCCATATGTGTACACACACACACACACACACACACCGATCACCACGCTCAGCCGGGCTTAACCACTACTCCGCCATGCCCACTCTGCCCTAGGGGAATACACAGAGATACAATGGGCTTTCTTAGCCTCTTGCCTGGGCTCCTGTGGGACAGGCTCAGGCCACAGGGCCGTGTGAGTGGCTCTGCCCTTCATCTTCCTATGATATAGCCCAAGAGAGAAGACTTCTCTCATATTTCCTACCAGGACTATTCAGACAGAGGGCAAAGCCATAGTCTTCCTCCCTCTGCTGCTATCCCTTGTCCCATCTAACTGACATTATGTAAAGGCTGGAAGCAGACAGATGTGTGTGGGAAGGTGTTCCCCCTCTTTCCCTTGTCTCTCCCCCCTCTCCCCACCGCCTCTTGCTTGCTTTGTTGTCTCGGTCACAGGGAACAGGGCAGCTGGAATGGAAAGCCACCACTGTTGTCAGAGCAAGAGGAGGCTGGGAGAGGTGATAAGGAGAGGAGGGAGCCAGGTGCCTGGCGGGAATGACTCCGAGGACGGGGCAGGCCCTAGGAGGCTGGCTCTCAGCACCCATGCGCCCGAGACAGGTGCAGGCCTCCCTGTGTCAGCCGCCCCCGTATCGCGGAGGCTCTCACTGGGCTGGGGAGGTAGCATTCAAGTACAGAAACCCGAACAATAACCACAAAAAGCCTACAGTACGCAGAGTCCCTCCCACGAGCTGAGCACACGGTGACATTTTGTTTGGCCTTTGCAACTCCCCCTGTGACGCAGGTGGGATTATCCCGTTTTACAAATGAGGAACTGACGCCCACCCAGAAACTAAATTGAATAGCTGCCCAAGCCACACCACTGAATTTCAAATCCAGCTTTTGTCAACTCTAAAGCCTGTGTCTCTTTTCTTTTCTTTTTTTCCCCGTATCATCTGTTCTGACTGCTCCTACACACACACACACACACACACACACACGCACAGGTGCACACGCCTGCCTCTGTACCTTCGTGGATGGCCACGATGTGGGGGTGGTTGAGTGATGACATGATCTCAATCTCCCGCCGAATGTGCATCAGGTCTTGCTCATCTTTGATTTTGTCTTTCCGGATCGACTTGATGGCCACCTGGGGAAAGAGAATGTTGGAGAGTGAAGAGGAAGGTCTGGCAGCTAACAGTGTCCCCAAGGACACTCTCCAAGTCCTGACTGTGGTCCGCCTGCTGCTGCCGCCGAGGCCACAGGACGCACCCCAGGGTGCCACTCTGACCTCCACCAGGGAAGATGGCGGAGAGGCTGGAGAGCACCTTCTGTAGGGGTGGTCCATGCAGCAGGAAGGAGTCAGGACCAACGATGAACAAGGAAAGTAACAACCATCGGGAAGGCTGATGCTTTAGGATTCACACAGCAGATTTACCCTACTACCCCAGGAGGACGAGGATGTGCCCACCACTGGATCCCTGATGCCAAGCATAGTGCTGGGCACACAGTAGGCACTGCATAACTGTTTGTTGTGCTAGTAAATTAACTGGTCCTCCCAACAGCCCTGGGGGGTAAGCACAGGAAGCATTTTCATCCCCATTTACAGGCAAGGAAACTGGTACCCAGGGAGGTCAAGTGATCTGCTCAAAGTCATACTGTCACTAGCCGGCACGCCTTGATGAACCTGGACAGCAGTATATGAAGTGAAGCAAGCCAGGCGCACAGGCCAAATGCTGTACCAGTCTATTTCGATGGGGTGACCAGGAGGGGAAAATGCCCAGGACAGAAAGCAGAACAGGGGTTGCCAGGCGAAGGGACTGGTGGCGGGCTGAGCAGGACTGTCTGACGGGTACAGAGAGCTTCTGTCTGGAGAGATGAAACGATGGGAGGAATGCATAGCGGTGATGGTTCCACACCATGAAAACTGTACTGGAAGCCACTGAATCGTACACTTAAATGCTTAAAATGGTAAATTTTATGTTATATATATTTTACCACACAAAAAAATATGAAAACTAAAAACCCCTCACAGGTTTCTTCAGTCCAGGGAAGGAATGTCCCTCTCCCAGCAACCGCATCCTCTGAGCTTCGCCCTCTTGCCTGTAAAGGTGAACATGCCATAAAAGGACAAATGCTCAGCTGGGTTTCGTGGCCGGTCCTCAAGGGTGGAGGGAGGCAAGGGAGAATGAAGAAAGAGCTGCCAGATGCCTTTGCGACAAAGCTCTGGAGACTGGGGGGTCTCCGTCCCCCTCTCTCTCCATCCCACACAGGGCCAAGGTGACAGAAAGGGGAGAATCACAACTGTGCGGTGTGAGTGTGTGTGTGTGTGTGTGTGTGTGTGTGAGAGAGAGTGTGTATGTGTGTGAGTGTATGTGAGTGTGTGTGTGTGAGTATATGTGTGAGTGTGTGTGAGTGTGTGTGTGAGAGTGTGTATGTGTGTGAGTGTGAGTGTGTGTGAGTGTGTGTGTATGTGTGTGAGTGAGTGTGTAAGTGTATGTGAGTTGTGTGTGTGTAAGTATATGTGAGAGTGTGTGTGTGAGAGTATATGTGTGAGAGTGTGTATGTGTGTGAGTGTGTGTATGTGTGTATGTGTGTGAGTGTGTGTATGTGTGTGAGTGTGTGTGTGTGTGTGTGTGTGTGTGCGCACGCGCGCGCGGGCGCACACATGTGTGCAGAAGACACAGCCTGGGAGCCAGGAGACGGCGGTTCTCCTCCAGGCTCTGTCGCTGTCCCCAGGGGCCGTCCCACCCCTCCTCAGAGCTTTCTTTTCCGTGAAACAAACAGGCTGAACGGACTTGTGTGGTGCTTTCCTGCTTTGGCTGTGAGATGAGCCAGGCAAATGCCACGGCCGTAGAGGCCTGCCTTGCTGGCATCAGTGCTGGGCAGGGGCGGGGTGTCCCAGGGCTGGTCACTTCCTGTGGAGCCTGGTGCAGGGACACAAATGGTAAACACAAGACTTCCCCTTCACCGGAGACAGGCAAGTTAGGAGAAACCCCAAGGCACAGGCCGAGGTAAACAGCTCCTCATTCAGTTTCCCAGGAGAGTTTCAAAAGGAGACGGAGAAAAGGAAACCACTTCTGGGAGGGGGGGCCTCTAATCCCCCCTCTCACCCGGGCTGGGAGAGGCAGACAATGGCTTCCTGCTCACAGGGACAGCGACAAGAATGCGGAACAGCCCCGCGTAATCCCGTAAGAGGAGCTGCTGACAGTGCCCAGGGCCGTCACCCCGGCAACGGCAATGGGCCCTCGGCGTGCCCTCCTCCCCTCCCCGGGAGCTGCCTCCCGGAAAGAGCCAGGCCCAGCTCTCTGCTCCCTGAGCGGGGCAGGGAGGACAATGGCAGCGGGAGGGACTGTCACCATGGAACCTCCCGCCAAGATGCTGTGGAGGCCCACGCTGCAGCTGCAGGTGCTCGGTGCACGCCCCCACCCCTTCTGCTCCAACACGCCCCCAGAGCTGTGCTGCAAAACCCCTGACTGAGAACTGGATGGGGGGTGGGGATGGGGACAAAGGGACTGGATTCCTCCATCAGCTCTGAGGTTTCAGCCTGGCGCTCGGCTTCCACACATCTCTCTCCCCAGACCCTTATCCTCTCCCCGAAGACACAATTTTATAGGCTAATTCTTTCCTCTCTAAATGTCTGCATTTTAATAATCAGACAATGGATAAAGTACAATGTACTCTTCAGATAGAGGGCCATAATAACCTATTAACAGGTAGTAAAAAAAAAAAACATACATGAATCACATAACTTGATAATGAGACAGAACTATGTGAGGGCTTAAGATGCGCATGTATGGCCGGGACCGGTTTGGCTCAATGGATAGAGCGTCGGCTTGGGGACTGAAGGGTCCCGGGTTCGATTCCGGTCAAGGGCATGTACCTTGGTTGCGGGCATATCCCCGGTAGGGGGTGTGCAAGAGGCAGCTGATCGATGACTCTCTCTCATCGATGTTTCTAACTCTCTATCTCTCCCTTCCTCTCTGTACAAAATCAATAAAATATATTTAAAAAAAAAAAAAAAAAAGATGCGCATGTATGAAAAGGCTAAGCACACCTGGGATGTATAACTGTGTACACACAGACAAATACAACAAGAGAGAAACCATTCTAGGCTTAGGAGGCAGAGCTCTCAAAAAGACAAGACCTAAAAGAAAGGAGGTCCCCCCTTCCCCCCTCCCCCCAATAAAGGGTCTGAGCTGTGCTAGAAACATCACGCTGATGGATAGATAGAGGGTTCAAATCAAACCTTGAGATCCATTTCTCTCAAATTTGGAAGCCCATGGCCCTAAATCAGAATTGTTAACCTCCACGGACAGTTCCATCCTCCTGTTAGCTTATGCTCTGGCCTCAGGGGGGGGTGGGGGGGCAAGGACCCCAATCATCTACATTAGGACCTAGGACAGCACAGTGTGGCTGGCACCTCCCAGGAGAGAAACAAGTAATGTCAGCAGGCCTCCACCAGCCCTTAAGCAGGTGACAAACCAGAAGAGCAAGATGTCAGTGCCCTGGTGAGGCTGGGCCGCGGCTCCTCAGCCCATCCCATGAGAAGGGCCTCTCGCTACCTGCTGGCTAGCCTAGCAAAGCAGATAAGATGTAGCCAACGCTCAGGCCTAGACAGAGCCCCGCAATCGAAAGCACTCAACGACAGTTTACTGGGGAACACCAATCACCATCTAGAGATATTGGTGAGGTCATGGGGCTGCTCCCTGACTGATGGGGCCGGTGCCAGGTGAGATTTTCTGCCTTTCTTCCCGGGCATGGGTGGAGAGGCAACCTCTGTCACGGGTACTAATTCGGAGGGACCTTTGTTCTCCATAGGCAAGGCGGTTAGTGAGCAACCACTCTCTAGAATGAAAACGTACTGACGGGAGCTACGCGGATCACCCAGAGGTAGAGAGATCACAAGCCCAGGGACAACCCTGGTTCATCCCAGCAATATCACTAACAGGGACCCCTTCCCCTCCAAAGTACCTAGGTTTAGATAACATAGTATGTGGCCACTCTACTCAGAGGGAACAGGGAACCCAGACACAACAATTGTATGAATGCACACGTAAACACTAGGTCTATGGAGAGGGTGTCAGGAGCTCAGGTATCTCTCATCTTTATGTGCCACTGCTGGACTCTGCAACTCAAGACAAGTCACTTAAATAATCTGGTCAACTGGTCTTGCTGCCCTCATCTGAAAAATGAAAAGGTCATGTATTCTCCAAACACCTGCTGAACGCCCACTACATGCCTGGTGCTATATGAGGTGTTGGGGATGTAAGACAGCAATTGGACAGTCCCTCTGCCAAGGTTTTCAGTGCATAATGAACATAAACTCCAGTGGAGTGTGATGAGTGTGAAAACGGAGGCCCCTGTCTGCCAGGTGCTCCAGGGGCACTGGAGGAGCCTCCTCGGCCGGGAGGAGCGGGGAGAGAACTGTTTTAGATCTTGACAGATGAGTGGGGTTTGCCAAGCCAAGGAGGATAGGCTAGGGAGGGGCAGCACGGGCACGCCAGGCAGAGAGAAATGTTTGAGCAAAGGCCAGGAAGAAAGGGGCCATTCACAAATTTGCACGCCAGGATCTCAAAGCTCCCTTCCAAACGCCAGCATTGTCCGCTGAGCGTCTTCAGAAATGGGTCACCTGCGACCATGCCAGGAAGGTGCTGGCCAAGGATCGTTATAAAGAGCTATGTCTCTGCTAACCTGTCTGAGCACAGCTCCTGCTGATCCCAGCCCAGGGATTTCCTCACTCCCGTGGCCCTGCAGGGCTAACTCTCTGCCCTGTGTTGCAAATGGCAAACACTGCAGAAAAGGTGCACCGACTCTTCGAAGGCAGAGTCAGGATCCAAGAGGGAGAGGTGTTCCCTGGAGAAGCTGCCGTCTCAAAAGACAAAAGATCCTCACAGATGCCCCACCCTGCCTCCAGCTCCCTCCCTCCCGCCCCTGGAGAAGGGAATGCCCCACACGCTGCCTCGGGCCAATCTGCACACTACCACCAGCCACCCCCATCCCACTTATACAAACACTGGAACACAAACACATGGGTGCTGGGGTTCCAATAGTTAAATACTCCCCCTAACTGCCCCCCCCCCCCCAACTCAGATCAGGAGGAATGATCTGGATTCAGGAGAGGATGGCAGGAAGGTCTTAGAAAAACAAGATCTAAAGGTGCTGATCCCAGGTCCCAGGAAAGAGGGTGCGCACTGGGCATCTCTGGTCATGGCTATTGCCAGGAGTTGGGGCCAAGGTCCTTGGCTCCTCTCTGACCTTTCACGAAGCAGCTGCCACCTGGGAGGAGGGGAAGGAGATGGAGGATGACCCACTTAGATAATGGAGGAGAGATTGAGCTGGGCTGGCCTGGGCTGGGCAGAGTGGGCGTGGGCCCAGCGTGTGGGGGCTCACCCTCCCACCAAGCTTGCCAGAGAACCAGCCAGGGAGAGGGATGGGCTCCAGCCATGAGGGGAGTCCGAGCTGCTTCCCCTAAACCATACTGTGCCCAACCCTCCTTGCCACCCTCCTGCCCACTCTGCCAGGTTGCTGGGCAAGGCACTTCCCTGCCCAGCTCTCTTGTGTGGTTTGGCCAGGGCCCAAGGACAAGAGTCGCCCGCTGCTGAGCAGGCAGGTGCAGGAGGCGCTGGGAGGGCGGCCGGCCAGGTGGGAGCCCTTCTCTGGAGTCAGGGCTGAAGGAGAGATTGGGACTTTGAACAAAGCAGAGACCAAAGCGGTTTAGGCTTAAAGAAGATGAGCACAGCCCAGGGTCTTGCTCAGGGCAGGGAGACCCAGAATGGATGTCTTCAGAGAGGGGAGGGACTGTAGTCACAGCAGCCTGGCTGGGAGGACACTGTATAGGCTACTGTACTCAGCACTTTGCCATATATTATCTTATTTAATCCTAGGAGACTATCATGCAGTAGCAGTTACCATAACCCCACTTTACAGATGAGGACACTGAGGTACAGAGAGGTCACAGAGCTGGTGGGTGAGCAATAGAGGCAGGATTTTAAACCCATGCATTCTGACTCTGAGTGAAGCAGCCTTCCTGACAAGGTGAAAACCAGGAATGTGGTGCAGTTCACCCAACCAGGATCCTTCACAGGCAGTGTGTGTGTGTGTGTGTGTGTGTGTGTGTGTGTATGTGTGTGTGAGAAAGAGAGAGAGAAAGAGAGAGAGAGAGAGAGAGAGAGAGAGAGAGAGAGAGAGAGAGAGAGAGTCGGTTCTCAGCGATCCTCCAACCCTCGGCACTGCCTGAAGTGCTGAGAAAGGTGACTGGAGCAGACTTGTTGGGATGACAAAACACACTGAGACAGGCCGGGGGACAACTGAAGGCCAACTTCCAGGCCAAGACTCAGACGTGGTGATCCAGGACTTGGGGTGGTCAGATCGGGGCCTAGGCTGCAGGCATGCACTAACCAGCCAGAAGACAAGTCTCCTCTCCTCTCTGGGTCTCAGTCTCCCCATCTGTCAATGAAGGGAATAGGACCATCTCAGTCATTTTCAAATCCCAACAAGCCATTGAATATATCGGACAGAAGCGCCTCTGCCCCAGATCACCAGCCATTTGGCCCCCCCTCGTGTTCCTCATGGAAGCCCTTAGAGGTTAAGACTTCCATGCAGATCATCCCAAAGGCTCTGGTCGACTCTACTGGCGGGTGTTTTTCTCTTTAAGGGGACGGAGGGTGAGGGAGCTGGGAGGGCCACAGGAGGAAATGTCATCGGGATACCAGAAATGCACTTGGAGACTAGGAGATCCAGAGCAAATATTTGTTTTTCCTTTGATGCCCTCCTGGAGTAGCCATTAGTCCTGCCCACCTGCCCCCCCCCCCCTCCGGACAGTCCCATCAAGCCCCTGACAATCTCATCTAGGCAGGCTGGGGACGGGAAAAGGTCTGTAAAAGTGGAGAGAAGATTGGGATGGGAGTCACCCAGCAGGTCTTCCTCTGACGTTAGTCTATCAGTAATCTCGGTTCATTTTGAGGGGGTCTGGGTGGCTCCATGTCCCTCTCTCCTGTTGAAGATCCTGAGGTTGGTCTCTCTTCAGTGAAGAGAGAAGGAGGGAACAGTGAAGAGGCAGGAATGAGGGGGTGGGGTGGGGAAGAGGATTCCTCTCCAGAACTGAGGAACCATCAGCACAGCAGGCAGCTGCTCCACAAGGAGAAGAGAGACACTGAGCAAGTGCCCAGCAGAAGCACAGAACGGTCTATATGGATCGGGGAGGTTCGGAACAGGTCCCACTCCTACAGATCTCGGCTCCCTGCATACAGCAGAAGGCAAGGGGCGGGAAGTACCTTCTGGAGTCAGTGTTCTGATGTAACAAGAGCTGGAACCCCTGCCTCCAGTCGCTGAGATTTGGAAACTGAAAGCTGGTTTATCTCATTCCAGAATCAATAAGATCTCTTTATTGCTCCCTCCCTCCCCACCTTCCTCTCTCCCCGCCTTCCTCCCTCTCTCTCCTAAATGCAGTGACCTAGGTCAAAAGCCTGATGAGCTCTCTAAACTTAAATCTCACTTTCCCAGTTTTAAGGCCCCCCATGCCCCCCAACCCAATCTGCCCCCCATAATCAGCTATCTTCCAGCTAAGCCGCCAACAAAGCCTGGGCCCAGAAGTCTGAAGCTGGAGCCTCACCAGGCCCTCACACTTTATAGAAAGAGAAAGAAAAGGAAAGTCAGGAAGTATATGATTGCCCAATATCTGTAACCTGGCAGCAGGCAACAGGGACCATGCCAGGCATTAGCAGAAAAAGCATACCCGGTCCTATTGATGGGGCCATAAACCCATCCCCTTTTGCCAGCATCCACTCTCCTTCACCAATGAAAGGACTTCTTGAATTTCAAACCAGCTACTGGCTGCTAAAGCAAACAATCCGGGGCGGCGACTGCAGCCACAGCCGATAGGACAAACCATGGCTCCACACACACACACACACACACACACACACACACACACACACACATATACACACACACCTGTACTTCCACACATCTCATAACCAGCACTCAACTGGATTTGGCAAAACAGTTCCTAGAGCACCTGCCCTAAAAGGCTTGTTAAAATACAGATTATTTGGTCCCAATCCTAGACCTTCAGAATAAAATCCTATGGGTGTGGGAGCAGAGAACAAGGATTTCAAACAAGCAGTTGACTCCTATGCCTATGAAACTCCAGTTTGAAAACCACTGTTCACCAACTTTTCGGCAAGCATGTCACTCTTTCAGGGTTGGCCTTTCCAGATATAAGCATCAGTTCTCACAGTGGTTTCTTCATGTCAGAGCAATTTACATTCACACTTACTTCTCACTCAGTCCTCACAGCAGCTGGTGAGGGAGGCTGAGGTTTCTCCCCGTGTTTGCAGAAGGGGAAACTGAGCTAAATTAATTGCTCAAGGTCCCACAGATTACTACGATAAATTAATTGCTCAAGGTCCCACAGATTACTATGATTACTACAATGTGCGCGCGCGCGCACACACACCAAATTAACAGGACACCTTTCTGAAAAGGCCTTGCACCCGAAGGAATCTTGGGACACAGTGGACCTTGCTCCAGAGCCTGGTTTCACATTTCCCAGAATAAAAAACTCATCGTATTGCTGCTGTTGTTTAGTGGTGGAGTGCTGACCTATGAACCCGGAGGTCAGAGTTGGATCCTGGCCAGGGCATATGCCCCAGTTTTGGTTTCGATCCCTGGTAGGGGGTTAGCAGGAGGTAGCCTATCAATGATTCTCTTTCTTCATCGTTGATGTTTCTATTTCTCTCTCCCTCTCATTCTCTGAAATCAATAAAAATATATTTTTTAAAAAAACTCATCATCGGACACTTCGACTCACTCTTAGATTTAGAAAGGACATAAGTGTCCAAGCCCCTTTCCTCCCCCCCCCTCCCCATTCCATCCCCGTGCATATCTCCGAAGTATGCTGGGCTGCCAGACGCATAGGACTGAGCTGAGAACTAGAGGCCTCACTCATTCATCCAAACACACACACACACACACACACACACACACACACTCACTGGGACTAACCTCCCTCCCTACCAGGATCAGGCACCTTCTACTTCCTCTTCCCATTCTGCTGGATTGGAAGTCTGTTCCCAGCAAAACCCAACTCAAGTTCCATCTTCTTTAGGGGGGACCTCTCGTCCCTGAGGATGCTCGTAGACTTCCAGGCTCCCTGCACCCACTGGCCATCACTAACTGGCCATCGCCACATGCTGCCCGGTGTTGTTGGGGTTCTCAGGTCCACGACCCTTGTCAGTACAACCAGGGACAGACACATCTGCGATACACACCGTCACCGCCGCCCCGGCCCCGCAATCTCAGCTTGGTCAAGAATGAATGAAGCCCTAACCGGTTTGGCTCAGTAGATAAGAGCATCGGCCTGTAGACTGAAAGGTCCCAGGTTCGATTCCCGTCAAGGGGATGGACCATGGTTGCTGGCACATCCCCAATAGGAGGTGTGCCTGAGGCAGCTGACCCATGTTTCTCTCTCTTCGATGTTTCTAACTCAATATTCCTCTCCCTTCCTCTCTAAAAAAAAGCAATAAAACATATATTTTTTTAAAAAGACTGAATAAAGGGGTTCCCCACCCATCCACGGAGCAAGGCTCTGGCCCCCCGGCCCAGCCGAGCAGGAGGGAGCCGCACTCACCAGGCGCCCCGAGCTCTCCCGCGCCTTCTTCACTTTGCCGTAGGTGCCCTTGCCCAGCGTCTCCAGGAACTCGTAGCGGTGCCGCAGGTTGTGCTTGTGGTGGTGCCGCTTCACCGCCTGCTTCTTCATCACCGGCTTGGGCGACTTGAGCCCGTCGGCCAGGGCAGCCGGAGGAGCCGGGCCGGGCCGCCGAGCGAGAGTCAGCGATTCCATGGCGAGAAGGAGCCCAGAGCAGGTGGCGTAGGGGTCGGCTGCGTGGGTAGAACCAGGGCACACGTTCCAAACCCTGCCCGTGAGCCCACCGCCGCCTCGCAGCGCGCGTCCGGGCGCCGCATTCCAACTTGTTATAAATGCCCCAGCCCGCGGCCAGGCCACACCCCCCGCGCCCATTGGCCCGCTCGCCGGCTTTGTGTGTCCGGGGCCGTTCTCATTGGTCCGCCCAGGACTCCGGCCCCGCCTCCCCTCTCCGCGCTGCTTGGAAAGGTGTCAATGGGGCCCGCCCACCCCCTCCTGTGCAACCCGCGTAGGGACAGGCCCAGCCTTAAACCTGAGGTCGCCAAAAGGTTGGCAACCGACCGCTGGACTAAAGGACACCGGTGGAGGCTGCTGGGTGTGTTGTCTGGAAACTTTGAGGGGCCCTGGAACTGCTCTTGTCTCTGAGTGGTGCTTGATCCTGTTTGGGGTCACCTGTTGTCCTTCTCTTGTGCTGTGTTCTCAGTGAGCCTGGGGCAATCTGACAGGACTAGAAGTCACCCAAGTATTTTGCCATCCTAGTAATTTGCCTCTCTCAAGCCAAAATCTAGAAAGTCACTTACCACTTCGTTAAGACTCTAGGGAAAAGGAGGGTGGGATGGGATAGAGGTGGGCTCCAGCTACGTGGGAGGGCTAGCTGTTCCAGGCTTTTGAGTTCATATTCAGTTCAATCAACCTTGATTGGATCTCAGAAATGCGGTTCTAGCAAGTTCTTACCACTCCATCAAAGATGGCTTCTAGAGTTGAATGGACCTTCAAGATGTGGTGGGCTTTATGAAGTGTAGGAAGGAGGTGGAAAGAACCAAAGGGAAACACTCATTCATTGAAAAAATAAAGCTACACCCCATTGCTTAACTTGTACCTCTAAATTCATAGGTAGTTGTCCCTGCAAGGTTTTCTTCTCTTCGATCTTAGAGTCAGGAGGACTGGTGGTAGGTCATAGCACCAGGTCCATGCCCAGTGTCATTTAGAGTGAAATCAAACAGCCGCAGGTTCTCCTCCTCCCCTAACACTTCCCCTTGAGTCTTCATGATAACCCAATCCTGCGAAGTGGGTATCAAAACTGATATCGATACCCACTTGTAAGAAACTGGGGCCAGACCCCCCAGGAGGATGGTGCCTTCAGCTGTGTCTTCAGGGCATGCTGAGGATCAAGAGGGACTAGGTCCCCACTGACTGAGTTTTGTATTTGGTGTCTTACTTCTACTGGTGCTCTGATCCGTTCCAGCGGGAGTTAAGGATGGAGAATGGGGCCCTTTGCCCTCTGGTGGCTGGAGAAGATCCACTTGTGCAATAAATCCACCCCCTTTCCCAAATCTGAAAGGACATAGGAGGGGGACCCAGTTTGGCGCTCTTCTCTCTACTGTCTCTTCCTCCCCCCCCACCCCCCCGGATTGTAGGAAAACAGAATGTGGTCCAGGTGACAGTTCCCCTGACCTGCTGTTAGCTTTCTCCCTTGAGATCTGCATCCATCCCTAGGGGCTCAGCTAGCTGGGATCATACAGATGGATACGGGCTCTCAAGTGGAAGTGTGGGTACTATAAGAGCAAGCCCAGGGCACAGTGTTGGGAGACCTCAGTTCTAGCCCTGACATACCAGCCAGTTCCGGGGCCTTTTACCAATCACTTATTCATTCTACACATTCTTAGTGCTGGGTCTGTGGATCTGATGGTGACGAGATAGACATAGTCTCTGTCCTCAGAAAATTCTCAGTCTAGTGAGAAATAAACAAGCAAATCTTAGGGGAAGATGTGTCCAGAATGGGGGTAACAGAATCCTTGGGGTGTGTAACAGGAGGGAGCACTTAGACCAGGCAGGAGGAGGTTGGTCAGGGGCAGCTTCCTGCATACACGGTCCTTGAAGCTGAGACCAGACGGGTGTGAGAAGTGAATCAACATCTCCTCATAAGTAAGATGAAAGAATGATACAGATGAGCCTAAGCTCCTCTTTCATGCTCAGGCGCCTATGAATGCTTCCAGGTGTCCCCAACACCAAAGGACACTCAACAGACGCTAGGAACCAAAGGAATGCAATGGAATTGAAAGGCTAAAGTGAAAGCAACTGCAGAGGAGAAATTTCCTTCCCTCCATTAGCAGCGAAACTGTGAAGGCAGTGGGGGGTAGATTTCCCCACCCTGTTGCCTCTTTCCCACCCCCACGTCAGCTTCCTTTGACCAGAATGTGGATCTCTCACCTCAGAGAAAAGCGATCTCCCCTGTCCTGAGGGCTCCTGTGGGGCTGCAGGACAGGGCTTTCGTGGCACGTGCATCTGGCCGCTGTCTGTCCCCAGCAAACAGGCAAGGGAGGCAGAAAAACAGACATGCGTCTCGGAAATGATCTTAACTGCTGAAACTCAACTCTCAGATTCCTTAGAGGGAGACCTGAATGCCTGACAGGGAATCTAATTACGTCAGGTGACTCAGCTGCCAGCAGATCCTGGGGAATTCCTGGGCCATGTGCTCGGAAATGCCGGGAATCTGGGCTGAGCTATTTCCATCCTGCCTGTCCCACTGTCCAGTCCTGGGAGGAGGAAGCCTGCCCCCTCCCCCCGCACGCTGGCATTTAATCACTGATGGCAGCCAGAAGGGCTCCCTCTAGTGAGAAATAAACAAGCAAATCTTATCTAAGGATAACCATCCATTGGGCCTACTAGGTGCCACACGGGGGAAAACTATTAGGAACAAGCACGTGTCCCAATCCTTACACATGTAGTAATCTGGGTGTCTGTGTGGATCTGGGCTTGAGAAGGGAGCGTTAAAATTCAGTTCAGAGTAAGGACTGCAGTGATATGTGGAGTGCAGGGTGCTTGCAGGAGGACAGGCGAGGGACACCAAGGTCGGGCTGCGGGGGTGAGGTGGGAGTGGGGAGTAAGACAGGTCGCATGAGAAAGAAATTCTCTGGAGTCTTGAGAAAGAAATTCTCTGGAGCCTAAGAACTAGCTCCCCGCTCTCAGGAAGTTACCGTTTAGTAAGGGAAAGAAGATAAACACACAATTCAAGGCAGAAAGTGGGAGGACTCTCAAGATAGGCACAAAGTGCCATGTGGGGCTTAAAGGATGGGTCTTTGAGGGGTTTGAGGGAGGACCTCACAGGAGGCCGACTGGGCGTTGGAGGGGTGACCTCTTGGAGGGAGGGTAGGATTTGGTAAACGGAGGAAAGGCCTTGCCTGGTGGAACTGCCTAGATAGGAACCTGGCCATTGGAAGGGTGGGAGTCAAAAGAGAGGGTTGTAGATCCTGGAACTCTTTGGGCAAATTGGTATTGCTGACTCAATGCTGCCCTCTTCTGACCAAAGTAAGTCTAGCAAGTTTTATGGGATGCCCAAAGCTGTAGCACAACTTGGGGCCCCTTAGGCAATTTGTTCCTTCAAGGATTCAATCACTGGTTCATTCATACATTCAGAAAATATGTACCTAGCAACTACATCAACAGGTGTAATAATAAATCTAACATTTACTGAGCCAGCCCTGGTTCTGAGTGAGCATTTTGGATCCAGTGTCATGCCCTACACCAGTGTTCAGCAAACTACGGCTTGCGAGCCACATACAGCTCTTTGGCCCCTTGAGCGTGGCTCTTCCACAAAATACCACGTGCGGGCACACACGTACAGTCGATTGAAACTTCATGGCTCATGCGCAGAAGTCGGTTTTCGGCTCTCAAAAGAAATTTCAGTCGTTGTACTGTTGATATTTGGCTCTTTAGACAAACGAGTTTGCCGACCACTGCCCTACACCATTAGCCCCTGGCTGGGAGTAACAGAGCGGGAGGCAAACCCTGCCAGTCCAATGTCACAGCTTGTTCCTAAGGATTGCATTGCCTTGTGATGCCCAACTGGGCTGGAGAAACACAAGATGGAACTAGTGAGCTGCTTACAATCTAAATCCTAGCCAGGCTTACTGGGAATTGAGGGGGATTTTGTGCTGCAAATACAAAAAACCCTCCCCAAGCCCTTGATTGCAATGGGAACTTCATGTTATTCACTGTCCAGGCCCAGAAGGGATATGACCCATGAAAAAGCTAGCTCTTCTCCCCAAGACAGAGAGTTCCTTGTCTCCCCAGCTGAAGTGGCAGGGAGAGCACATGCAGATGGATAGAAGACAGGAATCCTGGGTTCTAGCTCCTTTTTTTTTTTTTTTTTTTTTTTTTTTTTTTTTTTTAACCACAACCCACATTATAGTCATGGCCAAGGACTTCCACTCTTGGGGGCAGTTTCATCATCTATAAAAAGGTATTTGGCCCTAGCCTGTTTGGCTCAGTGGGTAGGGCGTCAGCCTGCGGACTCAAGGTTTGTTTCTGGCCAAGGGCACATGGCCAAGGGCACATGTCCCAGGTTTGATTCTGGCCAAGGGCACATGCCCCAGTTGCAGGCTTGATTCCCCAGTGGAATCTCATTATTGATGTTCCTATCTCTCTCTCTCCCTCTTCCTTCCTCTCTGAAATCAATAAAAACATATTTTTAAAAAAGGAATTTGGATAAATCAACTGTGCGTTCCATTTCCACTCAGCTGTAGCTTCTCTGCAATGTGTAAGCAGGAACAGATTAGACATCTCAGTCACTCAGCTCTTTTGCTCACCTGGTAACTGATCCCTAAAACTAGTAGATCCAGGAGCCCATTCCCTCTCTCACCCCCAGACTGGCATGATGGGGTGCTCTGCTCTGCCACTGATTGGCTTCCCTCGGCAACTCTGTAGATGACAATGATTCTCGCATACAGCTTCCCCATGGTGTGCTAGCCACTGTATGAATGAGTTCGATCCTTACCGCAACTCTAAGAAGTGGGTGATTATCTTCATTCCACAGATGAGAGAACTGGGACTCCGAGAAACTAGGTAACTGCCTCTGGGGGATCACGAAGCTGGCAGGTGGTGGAGCCAGATTGCAGCCCTGGCCACCTGGCCCCGGAAACAGTGCTCTCAGCCATCATGAGTTGGCTTAGAGAGGCTTCTTGATTTGCCCAAGTCTCAAGTAGACCATGCTTCTTTTAAAAATATTTTTATTGATTTCAGAGAGGAAGGGAGAGGGAGGGAGAGAGAGAGAAACATTAGTGATGAGAGAG